ACCTGTGAGTGAAAATACACATTCACTTTCAACTTGGGGAAGAGATGGTTAGACATGATAGTCATGTTAGTCATGTTTAAATATTTCAACATGATAGTCTAAATATTTCAGCATACTAAATGTGATAAACTTAGCTTCATTAAAACTATCAAGCAGTTTTGTAGCAAGGAACTTCATTTTTGTTAGTTTGGCCAATCATCTCTCTAATCTGTTAAGATCACTTTGAATCCTGCGCCTGTCCTCTGGAGTATTGGCTATCTCTCCCAATTTGGTGTCATCTGCCAACTTGATTATCATGCCTTCTAACCCTTCATCTAAGTCATTAATAAAGATGTTGAACAGAACCAAGCCCTGGACGTAACCCTGCTTATGGTACTCCCGAGGAAACATTGGGGAGCACCCACTGGGTTCGTTCACTTAACCAATTACAGATCCACCTAATCATAGTTTTGTGTAGCCCACATTTGATTAGTTTGTTTGCCAGAAGAAATGGGAGAACTTATTGAAAGCCTTACTGAAATCCAGTTACGCTACATTCATGGCATTCCCTGCATCTAGTCAGCTTGTAACTCTCTCGAAAAAAGAGATAAGATTTGTCTCTGGCTTGAGACAAGGCCAGGGACCAGAAGCAGGGAAAAACTGAATCATTTCTGACTCACTGACTGCTTCATAACAGAAATGGCAGAAAAAGCTTCTGAAGGGCAAAGGGACTTCCGGTTTCCTTAAAAACTTCAAAATCGCATTTTTTTTCATTTTATGAAGTACTTCTGCACAACAGATTTGTGTAAATGTCTCAAACTTCCACTAGGTGAAACTCAGAAATTTTCATTATTGCAAAATTTTTCAAGACCCCAAAACTGAGCTAGGCAGACCACATTTGGGGTCAGTACCCAAATTTTAAGAAGTGTTCTAGAGCACCGCAATTGGATTCCATGTAATGTGACGGCGCGAGTGGCGCCACCTATGTATAGAACTGTTACTTGTAAGATTTAAACTGTTTTATCATGCTTAATCCTGCCCCTTTTTACCCTGCTTATGTATAGTTGTATGGATTGGTTGCTTATAGCTGTCAATCAGTACTGTTTGGCTCCACCTCTTCCTGCAAGGGGGAGAACGTCCTTTTTCTTCTTCATTCTGCCATCAGAGTTTGTACCAGATGGACGTGAGTAAGAGACCTGACTCTAAAGGGCCCTGATTTAAGTTACCTCTTAGCACCAGTTCTGAGGTTTTTGTACCCCTGGGACTCATGCTTTATGTCCAGATCGTCCTGGGCAATTATTGAGGAGACCCAGGTGCCTTCAAGCCGGTTCTTTTGGCACCACAGGAAGATCCTGAATCTTCAAAACATAGGCCATCTGAACTGGGGTTGTGGTTTGCTCCGGCATTCACAGCCATTGAGGAAAGAGGAAACTTGGTGAGGCTTGTCAGCTTCAAACCCCTTGGACCCAGGACTAATTGAGACTGTAATGTATGTTTTCCTTCACCCCTCTAAAGTTTTCCAGCTCATTGCTTTGAAGAAATGACTTTGTGATAAATTAAACTTATTTTGAGCTATTTACAGTGTTTTGGGTTTTTTTTGGGAGTTCCAGTTTCCTATAGGAGGGCAAGAAGCTATCCCCTGGGGGAAAGATGCCACGTCCATCCCTCCTTTATTGAGAATAATAGTCCCCAGGTGCGACGGCACATGTAATATGAAATTTCTCCCCCCTGCAAGCTATAGAGAGGAAGGCTATTTACTGGCCTCAATGGATGAGGTCCAGTGAAAGTAAAATAGTCCTGGCCAGGGCTATTAGACAAGAACATGGAGTCCAAACGCTTGGGAAGGAAGCGGTTTTTCTCCTTTGAATCCGGAGTCCTAACTAGATGAAAACTTGTAAGCAAGAGAGAGGGAGGGACGAGGGCATGGGACCCCAGAAGACCTCTCCATGAATCACCAGCCAAGGTGGCTGCAAAAGGCTAGGGTGCAAGGCTTTGTTGTTGCATGGTGTGCATTTTCCCTGTCAGCCCCCACCCCCCAAGGTTTCTACTCTTTCTTAATCAATAACAACTTATCTTGTTTGTAGCCCTGTTATTGAGGGAAGTTTTTTCTTCCCTTTTTTCCCCATCACTGTTCTGTGGCATGGTACTGTTTCCACTGCTATGCTTCTTCATGTGTTACACCCTAACTCTTTATAGGGAATGGTGCATCCTTTTCCTCTCACTCAATCCTTCCCCAGTGTTATCGTGCCCAGAGGTATTCGGCATTGCTGGTTGGCTCCTGGGGCTCCCATTTAGGCTGCCAACCTGGGATAGGACCATTCAGTTACCACACCATGTGCTACACATGATGGAACTGTGGCCATTTTGTGTGGGGGAATGCAAGCTAGCCTCAGTTAGGTGGCATGGCAGCTGCCATTTTGAGCATGTGTGAGTCCAGCATGGCAGCGGTCCTTTTAAACGTATGCAGAGCTTGAAGACAGTGGCCATTTTGAGAACTTGTTAGTCAATATGATGCCAGCCATTTCTGCCAACACTGTGAATAATCTTCAAATGCTTAGGCTGCATAATGGTGGACATTCTTTGGCCTACTGGAACAAATGTTTTAAAGATGTAGCCAACTAAGTTTATGCATTTCATTGACATTGCGATCATAGGTCTATTAATAAGGATTCCTATTTTGAAATTGGCTGGCCACATTCAACATGCTTTTTCACTAAATCCAGTCAATTTAAAGGATATGACTATACATATGAGCATATGTGCTAATAAAACAGTTCATTATGAACTAGTCATGAGATAGCCAAAATTTAGATATGAATGTAAGTGCAAATAATAATAATAATAATAATAATAATAATTATTATTATTATTATTATTATTATTACAAAGACTCTGGCATAAACCAGTACAGGTGGTCGCAGTGGTGATCAGCACACTGGGTGCCATGCCAAAAGATCTCAGCCGGCATTTGGAAACAATAAATATTGACAAAATCATGATCTGTCAACTGCAAAAGGCCACCTTACTTGGATCTGCAAGCATCATTCGAAAATACATCACACAGTCCTAGACGTTTGGGAAGTGTTTCACTTGTGAGTTTGTGATACGAAATCCAGCAAATATATCTCACTTGCTGTGTCATACTGTGTTTTGTGTCAGTAAAATAATAAGTGTAAGAATTATGATCCCAAGTATACTGAAGGTAGCAATCTTCATCAACCGAATGGATATTAGAGTAGGAAACCCTACTAAATATCCACATTGTAATGAAGTATATAGTATACCTCACTCTTCTTTTTTCAATCCTGGACTCCAACATGGCAGGCTTATGAAAGCTTCACAGAATCTTTCAATCTTTCAAGAAAGAATAATATTTCCCTTATATGCTGTGATCTATATAAATTCAAGTAATGTGTTATCTTTTAATCCATGTTATGCACCCACCCTGTGACCACACTATTCAGACACACATTTGTGTTTTTATGAATGTTTCCCACAGCAAGACGTGACAAAATGATATTTCAGCTTGAATTTGTTCTCATTTCAGAAGCCATTACAGGTAATTTGGTTTTTCTTTCCTGTAGAGCCAAAGGATGTTGTTTCCCATCTATTATTATCCAGTTAAATTGATAATCTCCTGTTCTTTCCAGATGTCTAATCACAAGTTCAGCCACTACTACAGGTGTCTGATGAGGGCATAAAGAGACCTGGAGATTTCCTTCAACTCTCTTGCAAAGCCTCTGGGTTTGCTCTAAGCAGCGATTACATGAGTTGGGTGAGGCAGTCTTCTGGAAAAGGGCAGGAACGGATTGCAAGAATAGATACTGATGGGGGGTGAGCAGTTGTATGATGACACAGTGAAAGGCCGCTTCCCTATTTCCAGGAATAACCCCTTTAAAATGCTCTATCTGCAAATGAACAGCCTGAAACCTGAAAATACTGAAGTGTATTACTGTGCAAGAACCACAGTGAAAGGAAATGAATCTGGACCAAGACAAAAAAAAACCTTCATAATCACACTAGAGAAAAAATCCACCAATTTCTGCCTCCTGCACAATTCTGGGGTTTGTAATTTAGTGAGGCTGTTAAAGGCTCCTCCCTAAACCACAAACCCCAGAATTCTGCAGGAGGCAAAAACTGGATTTTAAGTGGATTTTTTTCTCTAGTGCGATGAGGCCCTCGGAGCCCCATCACACTAGGGAAAAAATCTTTGAGTGTTGTAGAATGGTGGAGATATTGTTGTAGATATTTCCTATCCACATCTCAGAAATTTGTTTTATCTCATGATATGGATGAAAATTAGAGAAGCTACCCATCTTTGCAAATGAAGGTGTTAGATCACTTAAGTAGGAATACCACACATAGCAATATCATTTGATATCATATTGTATGATAATATATTTAAACATGCTAAGCTCCATTAACAACTTGTTCACATGCTTGGTGGCAACTATGAAACCTGCCGGGCATGGCTTAATCCCAATGGCAAAACCTTCGGGAAGCCATTGCTTCCCACATCGCCTCACCGTGTAGCGCTGCCCCACTCTACAATCACAATAGGGGAAGCGAGGTATGTGTGTCATGCGCATGGCTTCCCCCAATGGAGGCAGCCTTGATCTGACAATACGGGAGATTTCCGTGTTGCCAGAGCAAGACTGCATCCATAAGGGAAAGCCACACACACCTCACTTCCCCCAATGTGATGGCAGAGTGGGGCAGCGAGACATGGCAACGCGGGACGGGAAGCAACGACTTTCCTAAAGCTTTGCCATTCAGCTTAATGCACACCAGCAGCTTTTGTAGTTACTGCCGAGCATGTGAAGAGGTCCTTAGTTTGGTGAGATCCAACCCAGAAAATGCACATAGCACTACATCCAAAATGACACACTGGAATAGGAGACAATGGGCTGTTGATCAACTATCATCATACAACAGCAGATTTCGTTCTTTGGTTTGCCATCACATGAATTTAGGACATATAGATTGTGGATATTACATATTACGAGACAGGGTCAGATGCTTCAGTTCTTTCTCTTTATTAGATGGTCCTTGTTGTTTAACTCTGGTCTCAACAGAATAACATAGCATTTCGGGAAAAAGATGCATGCCAGTAGTCCAGCACTTGAGGCTAAGATAGAGAAGATCTCCACGGCTACGATGTATTTCCCTTTAGTGCTCAGATAAGTAGGGACGAAAGACACCCACACGCTGCAAAAGATCAACATACTAAAGGTGATAAACTTGGCTTCATTAAAACTATCAGGCAGTTTCCTAGCAAGGAAAGCTACTGTGAAACTGATGACGGAAAGTAGTCCCATATAACCTAGGACAAGGTAAAACATGATGAAGGAACCTTCATTGCATTCCACAACTATTAGCCCGGTTAGTGAATGCATGTCCAAATCTGGGAATGGAGGAGAACTCCCTAGCCAGACTGCACAAATAACGACTTGTATCGAAGTGCAAAAAAAGACAATTGAATTAGCTAGCCTCTTCCCTACCCATTTTCTCATGTTTGAACCTGGTTTTGTAGCCATGAAAGCTACAACCACAGTGATAGTTTTGGCTAATACGCAAGAAACTGCCACTGAAAAGATGATGCCAAATGCCACTTGCCTCAAAAAGCAACTCACTTTGCCAGGTCGACCGAGGAATAAGAAAGAAGAGAGGAAGCAGAGAAGAAGGGAAATGAGGAGAATGTAGGAGAGGTCCCGGTTGTTAGCTTTCACTATTGGAGTATCTTGGTGCTTAATAAAAATTGCTAGCACCAAAGCGGTGATCAAGAAAAATAAAAAAGCAACCGAAGCAGCACTAATCCCTAAGGGGTCATCATAAGACAGAAAGGAAATATCTTTGGGAACGCATCTGTTTTTGCTTTTGCTTGGATACTGATCTTCTGGACATGCAAAGCATTCATTCATATCTGTGGAAAAAATAAAAGAATTAATGGTTTCACATGACCATTTTATATGCAAAATTGACATGATTTTAAAAGAACATGTATAATTGGGGTGTGGTAGTTTATAATGTTTTAATGGTTTTTAACTGGCATTTTTTAAAATACTGTTTATATATAATCCTGTTTTAATGTTTGCATATTGGTATGTTTTAAATTCCACAACTGCTCATTCTTGAGCTGTAAATCCTCATTCTTACCTAATCCTATTGAATGGAAAAATTATTTATTTATTTAAAGCATTTATATTTTGCCCTTCTCATCCCGTAGGGGACTCAGGGCAGATCACAATGTGCGTATACATGGCAAACATTCAATACCATAGACACACAACATATATAGACAGAGACACAGAGGCTATTTAACTTTCCAGCTTCATGAGGGTATGCTTTTTGAATTCCGGCCACTGGGGGAGCTGTCGCTTCATCATCCACTTGTGACACCGATGGAGTACTTCCTCATTCTTTTGTAAGCTGGAGACTTCCTGGCTGACTCTGTATGTCTGGACATTAGACAGCTTTTGTCACTTACTTGTTTCATTGGAAATCTTCCCTTCTGGGCATGGGATACAACTGAAGCAACAAAATTTCTTCCCTTCCTCCTTGGTCTTTAGATTACCCGGCTGGCAGGCAAGGCTGCATGTAGAAAGGGGAAGCACCTGCCCATAAAAATGAAGAAATGTTGTGGGGAGAGAAAAAGAGTTTAGATATAAGTTCACTGATTACATTGATGACTTTGTTGTACAGAGTTGTTGAGCAAGCATAGAAGCAGGACCATCTTCTTTGGGGATGGTCCCTGTCATACAACCTGCAATGAAGCCATCAAAACAAATCACAGGATGGCCTTTGAAATCATAATACAAAAAAGAAATGCACAACAATATCACAAAATACCTTAGATTTTTGGAGTTCCAAGACAGACCCTTAATGCCTTTAAAAGTCTTAAAATCATTTACACTTTACAAGCCAGGTTTGATTTCAGAAAATACCAATTCCCAGAAATCTTTTAACAGGAACTTATGTCCCTAGAGGAGAACAATCACATAGGCAGTATTCATCTAAAACAGTGGTTCCCAACTTTTTTTTTTACCAGGGACCACATGAGCAGGGACCACTTTGACCAGGGACTACTTCACCAGAGACCACTTTGACCAGGGATAACTCTCTAACATTAGTACAAACAGGTGTATGTGGGGGGCAGAAGTGATTTTCCTTCTCCTCCCCCCCCCCCTTCTCCTGACATGTAACTCCTAAGCACCAGGAGAGGGACAGCAGCAAGGAAATGCAGGCTCCATAAGTTATTTTATTTTAAAAGATTTTTTGCAGGGAGGGTGAGGGGATTGGTGCCCTTGCGGTTTTCTGGGCTGATTCAGACCAGAAAAATGTGGGACGGCTATCTGGACTGCCCTCTCAAAAATCCAGAACTTCTGAAAACCAGTCCAGACAGTGGACATAGTGGGTTTGACCCACCTTTCAAGAAGGTGCACATCAAACCCACTATCAAATTAATTCAGGATATAGCAGAGTCATTTGGACACACACACAAACACATGGGAGATTATGCACTTTCCAAACTGTGTTCATCCACCCTCAGTGAATTTGAAGATGTTAGCCTGCATTACTCATGTGATTTCTTCCAACTGTATGATTCTATAGTATTTTCTAAACATGCAGCAAAGGAAATGCTCAAGCACAAGATCACCTAGACCCCTTCTACACGGCTGTGTAAAATCCAGACTATCTGCTTTGAACTGAATTATATTGCAGTGCAGACTCAGATAATCTTGTTCACAGTAGATAATGTGTATTGTCTGCCTTGATATTCTGGACTATATGGCAGTGTAGAAGGGCCCCTGGGCTGCTAAATAAGTGCCCTCCAAAAATCCCAAATAATCCACACCTGGTTAAACCTTGCACGCCATTCCATCATATTCTCATTAGTGATCAATTGTTTTCCATCATGATCATCAGGATTCAACATTCCAATTTTTGTTTTAAGGAAAGAATTATTTGGAAATATGACTAGGTTCATTATATCAAATCCAGAAATCAGTTCTCCGTGATCACTGAATGATATGGTTTCTCCAGCTGAGTTGTTTAAAAAAGTGGCTCGAAGAAAGGAGTGGAGCTGTGAGCAAAGAAGAGACAGATTTGAGGATCTTTTCAAAAGTTATTTCATTCTATTTCACTTGTATGGATTCAATCAGAAAGCTGGTCCGAAAGTATGGTTCCCTCATTCCCTATAGTGTTTTGATCATTTCATTTGTTGTTTCACTGATCATAGAATCATAGAATCAAAGAGTTGGAAGAGACCTTATGGGCCATCCAGTCCAACCCCATTCTGCCAAGAAGCAGGAATATTGCATTCAAAAAGATGAATTTTTACTTCTCCAAAATAAAACAGAGCATAGGAGAATGGCCTCCTCCTTCCTTGTTTTGAGTATGGATTTTTAAAATATATATTTATTGACTTCCTTAGTTTTAAATGGACTATTAATTTCTGGTGATCAAATAATTGCTCTAAAGCCATTGTCCTGTGAGTTGTAAAATATTCATTATGAATCCAGAATTTAATCCAGAAGTGTGAATTAATAGTCCTTGGCTTTACTTCCTGACAGTAAGAGCTATTCCACATTAGAATACACGGCTCTCTCAGAGTGTGATGGAGAATTGACACATAGCAGAATGGGGCTGGACTGGATGGTCTTGGGGTCTATTGCTGCTCTATTATTCTATGATTCTATGAATGGTACACTGTTATTCCAGATCTTCAAAACCTTTGTGCTCATGCCTTCATTCAGAGGAGGGTGACCAATCATGAATCCCTATCAGGAGCAGCTCAGAGAGCTAAGCATTAGACATATGTATTTGGGGGAAACCTTGTCCTGTTTCATCTCCTGGCTTTCATTGAGGGCCCCGATCTGTTTTTTGAAAGCCTCCCGAAATTAAGAGAGTTTCAGGGCCCAAAAATCAGACCAATATGGGGGAGGGGGGCTACCCACTCACTGGCTCCCCTTCCCAGCGTGTGTTCTTCTTACCTGGCATCTGCTGTTCTACTCTTTATATAAGAGATGCTCAGTTATAGGCATGGCAGGTGCATGTGCTTTCCAGGCCTTCCTGTATGCCCCGCTAAACATGCACTCTCCTTGGAAAGAGTGAGTGTGTGGCAGGGCATGCAAGCAGGCCCGGAAATCATGCGTGCCTGCCAGTGTCTGCAGCCAGGTGCCTCTTACTCTAGAGTAAGAGGCGCTCAAGCTACAGGTGTGCTCTGGGCCTGCCTGCCTTCCTGCATGCCCCGCTACACACAAACTCTCTTTCCAAGGCAAGGAAGCAAGTTCAGAT